CAAATACACACAAAAACATCAAAATTAGCTCAGAAACAGTACTATATAACATTTTAGACACATTCTAGACAGTTTATCAGCTAAAAAAAGTTAATTTTGGGGTAAGTTACTCTTTAAGTTAGATCTCTGTGAAGATGTTTATGCTTTTTACAACACTTGAGTGGTAATTTGCAATTTAAAATGTTTTTTCTGTCCCTGTTACACAACTTGTGCTGCACCTCTGATGACCTCATTCTTAATGTTAAAAAAGGTGTTTTTAAAATTTTTACTTATGACTGAAAATGTACGAAATGTTAAACTGACTGAAGCAAATATGGTCTTTAAAGCTTCTAAGACCGTTGTGATGAATCTGAAACTCTAGAGGAACGTTCAAACACTGAAGACATTCACCAAGATTAACAGTAAACACTTTAATAATAAACACCAACTCCCTGAACAAGTTTTTCTCTCCCTGAAACCAAAAAGGCCTTCCTTTAAAGGAGACGTGTCCTGCTTTTAAATCCTTCTTTTTCACATTTAATTCATTCAGTCTATATAAAGTGGAACTGCTGTGCGCTTCACACCCCGCCCCACTCCAGCTTCCGTAAACCCTTCTATTAAACTGTTCTAGTTTGATAGAGGGGTTTACAACTATATAGCAGCGCAGAAACTTTTTATTTACAAATGAATTACAAGACGTCAACAACAGAAGACTTGTCCATCCAGCTTTACATGTTGGAGCCAGAAGAGGATAAAGTCGACCAAACTGTAGTTTGTAAATCTAGACCTTACTTAGGGGTCATTCACAATTCTCAACATTTTCATGAGTGTGAAAACATACACTTTTATGAGACGTAAAAGTACCTAAAAGTGTACAGAAAAAAATGTTGATTATCACGGACCAATTTTACATGAGGCTGGAATTTACTCCTTCCTACAACACCACCCATATGTGACTGGTGTACTACAACAGAATCACTATTGTCAGTGCTGGCTCTAGCCATTTTGGTGCCCTAGGCGAGTTGAAGCGCAACAACCCCCACCCCCTCCCCCCCAAACTATGTCCCACCCACTGCAATTTCAACCCCTAAAAACAAGTTTGACAGTGTTAGGTACTATGGTAAACTTAGATTTATTTGCTTTCCCAGAAAGCAAATAAATAACAACATACATGTAAACTTGTACGGATTGTCCGTAAGTTATAAGGATTTTACGTCATTTTGCAGGTATACAGACGTATAGAGCAATCTCACGGATTTTTCCAAGTCTTACGGATTTTTTCAAAACCTCATTTTCAAATTTATCTAACATGTCAGAGCCTGTAGGATGATTTAAAAAACAATAAATAACATCAAACAGCCATCTTTTAACCTGTTCTGCCGCTAGAAATAAGTTTTGAACCTATTCCACTCTCCTTTCCCCCTGCTCCACAGCGGGCGCTTTCATGTCTGCAGCGAGGCTTCTTCTCCCCCCCCAGGTGCGAGTTGTATGGATTTTTTGCTAAATGTATGGATTTTTGAGACATTTTATACAGATAAACGTCCGAAGAAGTTGACATGTATGGGACAACAAAATACAGACTTGTTGTTATTGAGTTTGTCAACACGAACCGCTATCTGAGAGGCACTACTAGCCCCTCTTCTGTCAGAGTGTCGGAGCAGGACGAGTCAGTGCAACGTCAATCAAATGAGAGAGAGAGGGTGGGGGCGTTTGCTGCTCTGGTGGGGAGAAAATGTTTTATGGGTAGAGTAGTTTATTTTTCCTGTAATACTTCATTATAGTTTTTTAAGACAAAGCTAAGTGAAAGGGGCGCTGAGCAGAGTTACAACCAGGGATTACAAATAATTACTTTTTTTTCGTCTGCAGTCTTGCAGTTTCTCCAGCAGATGGCGCTCTAGGCGACCGCCTAGTTCGCCAATGCCAAGAGCTGGCTCTGACTATTGTGTAACATCAGCCTTACTTAAATATACAACATTGCATACATTGTCACAGGGCTACCCCCAGCATCCTCTGCAGCTCATGTCTTTCCTTCTTTTCTATTATTTTTTTTAATTCATCATCCATCCATTATCTATACCCGCTTCTTCCTTTCAGGGTCACGGGGGTCACTGGTGCCCATATCCAGCAGTCACAGTGTGAGGGGCGGGGTAAACCCTGGACAAGTTGCAAATCCATCACAAATTCACTTTTTTTATTCACTTTTTATTAATTTTGTAGATCTGGGTTCTGGAGGACTTTAATATTTAATTTCCAAAAACCTTTTCGTTTGATCCACACAAGACAGCTATAACGAATGATCAGAAAAAGCATTTAATTTTATAATGTAACGGTTTGAATCGTGAAGAGACATCCATTCTATCCATTAGGCTTTTTCTTAGTAACTAATTGACAGGAGTTCTGTATAGTTCCAATGAAGCAGCACAGATCTTTCTGGGTCAAGACTGTTGCAGCTACTAAAATAAAATTATTGTCATTCCACATTTGTACACATCTGAAAGTAGTTTAAAACTTACAGATAAATAAGTAAGCTAGATATTTGTGTGTGCTGATCTGGTCAGCAGAGCTGGACCGTTCGGTGTGACAGCCTCTGATCACCTGCTGCTGATCAACTTAAAAAAATAAACAAATTAAAAACATGGCGCTTTGGCTCATCTCATGATACTGTGACTGGAACCATTAATCCTCGGAATAAAAATGGCAATGTTGATGATGGATAGGTTGCTGATCAACGTGTGTGTGTGTGTGTGTGTGTGGGGGGGGGTGTGTGTGTGTGTGTGAGAGAGACAGAGACAGAGACAGAGACAGAGGCAGAGAGAGAGAGAGAGCGCCCTCGGAGCTGCGACTCGCAGTGACAAGTGACCGTTGTTCACAGAACTAACACAGCAGGTTTATATTGATGATGAGCATCACAACAACTTTAGTGCAGCAATAAGTTTGTTTAGTAAATGTTAAAGACAATTGTTAAAATTAGTTCATACAATATATTTTGTGACTGAAAAGAGGGAGGGGTTTGTCACATATCAACGCATCGCAGTCGCGCTTCTCCGTCCTTCCTGATTCTGTTGGACTCGCTTCTGAAAGCTTCACCTGTGATTTAAGGACTGATCTGTGCGGCCGTTACATGAAACTGTCTTTTGGATGAGAAAAATATTTGCTCTGCAGGACAATATCAGCATGCAGGGCATAAAAAAAAAATCAACTTTTTTTTAAATTTTGAAAAGCGTACAAGTCCTTGACCCCCTCCCCCCCAAAGCATACGGTTTGTGCAATTGTGAAAATGCTGAAGACTTTGACCCACCGCTTATGTTTTTTGGTGCACACCTCATTCAATGATTTTTGTCCTTTTTCAATAATTTAAAAATAAAAACTTTCAGCTCCTTCAGGACATTTTGGCTATGACTTTTGGTATTTCAGCAATTTATACTTTTGAAAATATTTACATTTTTTTGCCCTTTTTTTCATTGAAAATGAAAACAGCTGTCGTCAACATCCTTTAAATCCTTCAAAATGTTCATAAATCTTTACTTTTATTTTTAATATTTTGTTCTGGTTTGACTTTTTTAACTTCTTTGTGCTAATTTCAGCTTCTATTTTGCTGACTTTAGCTTTTTTCTGTTTTTTATCTATTATTCTGACCCATTCAGATATTCTTCTGCTAAACTTTTTTTGTTCCTTTCACTTTCTTTCTTTCCTCTTCAGCTTTTTCTTTTTTACTTTTTATCTACATATTTCTGCATCTTTTACTTTTTATCTACATATTTCTGTATCTTTCTCTGTCCCTCGAAGATTTTGTTTTTACAGTTTGGGATCTTCAGCAAATTTCAACAATCATGTGGCTAATTTTGGGTTCCCCTTAAAATTCAATTCAATTCAGTTTATACAGCTCCAAGTCACAACATACATTGTCTCAGGGCACTGTACATAAAAAAGAACAATCTAAAGAAGAAAACTCAGCAAGCTGTTCAGTGTTTAAAAATATTTTGGCTTTTTTAGCAGATTTCAGCTAAATTATTCAGCAACGAGCATTCTCACTGCACTTTAACAGGAAATGCCTTTATTTCTAGTGTTTACTTTTGAGAATAAAAGGAAAACTTGAAACATTTTTGTCCACTGGGGAAACATAGCTCATTTCCTTATCACTTTAGGGACACAAATATTTTTTTAATGTCTAAACCACAGTGCAGCCCTGTGTGACTTATTAAAAACAAGCAAACATAAATCTTGTAAGAAAGAAAAAGCTTCTTCTCTCACCAGGAAACGATCCTGCGGCCGCAGTTTGTGGTGCGTGATCTCGGGCTCGGCGGTCAGATAGGGGGGCGTGTGGTAGTTGGGAGGGATGAACTTGGTGTGCTCGTTTTCGTGGAGCTGATCGGGTCCGGACTCCAACACTCGCTTCTGCAGCTCAATGCTCCACTTGAACTTCACGTCCCCAAACGCACGGAACGGCATGAGCAGGCCGAGCAATCTGTCCTGATGGAGGAGAAGAGAAAGACGAGATGAAGTTGTAATAAGTGTTTTCAGGATGAGCGCAGCCAGTGGGTTAGCCAGCACCACTACCTGACGTATGACGGTCTTCCTCTCAGATGCAGGGTGCTCGCTTCGTATCCGAGCAACCTCGTCCTCATTCTGGGCGCTGTGGTCGTTAGATAAGGTGAGAGCGCTGAACGAACCGTCCTCCTCCTGCACCCCCAACACGGCCCGAGCGTCTCCTGCATTGGCTATAAAGCTTCGGAAACAGAACAAAGAGCCAAAGAAACAAAGGAAAATAAAATAAATATTTATTTTAGCTTCTTCTCCAGGTTTGTCTGAAAGCACAGTTTTAGATTTATTCTCCCGTACAGGTCTGGTCCGTCGATGTGAGCCACGCAGGCTGTTGCTCCAGAAAAGGCCACCCTCAAAACCCAGTAATGCAGAAAGGCGCTCGGGTCTCCAACCTGCAGGGAAATAAAGAAATCTGTCAGCATCAAAAACTGGCGTCTCACAAGGCTCAGATTTTATGGAGAGGCTGTGACACCCGAGCTTCTCTTTGAACCATAAAAATCTAAATTTGGAGGCTGTTGTTTTAACGTTGTCAGTCTGGACTGACGTCCATCTTCAGTGTCTCTTAATGAGAGAAACATCAGTCAGGTTTAGCACTTAGAACATGATTGCAGTTCGATTCAGACTTAAAAATTTAGAGAAAAGATGACGAGGCTAGCAAAAACGAAGATGGCATTTCAGATATCTCAAAACCTTTAAGACAAGCAATTTTTTAAAATTATTATACATAGGCTTGGGCAATATTGATCTTTTTCATACCGACATCTTTAGATAATGCTGTGGTATAGGGTATTACAGGGTGAATAGGGACATGTGTGGGGGGTGTATGGTCTGTGGTATGTTGAGTTACTTGTCGCTCCATCACTACCTAAGGTGCTCTAGCCTTAATTAGAGGAGTATGATAGCCCGAACAGCAACATTTCATATTAAAACTTCAGACATTTGTCACCTGAGCTTCCAGGGAAATGTCATTGTCCAGCCTTTTGAAGGCGTTCATTAAGGCCTCTCTTGTGTCTGGAACCTCTCCCGGGCTGGAGGGAGTGAGTGACGTGAGAGAAAAAGACAGGAAGCAATGGAGTCAACAACAAACACTAACAACAGATGGGCTCGTGTTGGTACAAAATAAGAAACCAGAAAGTGTACAAAAACATGTACAATAGGTTGCCTTCAGGCCCAGGCTGCCCTTGAAAAAGAGATCTGAGATCTCAATGGGATTTGCCTGGTAAAATAACAGTAAATAAAATAAATAAAAGTCCTGTTTATAATATTTTCTGGGCCACAGATGATAAAAAAGGACAAATATGTGCACATATTTTTGTGAAAGACTTGTACTGCGGTTGCATTGTCGAGTGTGCCTCACCTGGTTAGGTCTATTAACTCCTGCCAGTATGTTCGCAGGCTGTTGAAGTAGAGTCTCTGAGCCTCCCGGCTGAAGTAGTCATTGGGGTGTTTGTGCCACTGCAGGATGGGACTGAGGGCTCTGCCGCTTTCCACTGCAGCCTCCAGCTCACACAGGGTGTCGTGGGGAAGCAGCGAAACCGCTATGTAGTAAAACAACCTCTCACTCAGCGCCTGGAAAAAGAGTCAAATATAAAACTTTCTGCATAAGGCAAGTCTTAGGCAAGACACAGAAGCTTAAACAAATGATTCTCAACCACACATATATAACCTGACTCACATAGGGGGAAAACATACTTTAACTATCAGGCTGAAATGAATTAAATAGTGAGGTTAGTCAGAGAAGTGAAATATGTTTGAAGCAGTAAAATGTAAGATTTGTTGATGTCCAATAGCAAGATGAGATGGAACTTTATAATTTATTTAGCATTTAAAGAATGAAGTCAAGTATAAACGAAACAAGTATTTCTTAAAGGAAAACAAATCACTCTCTATTTTGCTGAAGTTTTAAAGAAAGATCTTGTAATAATAATAATAATAATAATAATTTTTATTTATTAGGGTGTACAGCGGGTAAAATAAGTATTGAACATGTCAACATACAACAAAACAGAATGTTTTGTTTTACACTGGATGCCCTTCTTGATGCAACCTGGGCTCAAACTTACAGCCTCAGGGTTACGAGACCACTGAGCTACCGCAGCCCCTTCGAACAAACAAAAAAATAACAGAACATGTAAAGTTTCACCTGAGCGCAGGCACAGCCCGCGTGTCCATCAAACACACCCAGCAGCATCCCTCGTGTCTGCAGGCATGTGGCGGCGCTCCGACGATCTTCTATCGGAGCATTGGCCGGAAGCTGATTGCTGTCGAAGCCCATCACTGATGATACATTTTTCCCATCGAACTCTGGTACCTGGAAGCAAAATGAGAAAAGCACGTTAAAGTATAAATGTGACCAATCATATCAAAATGTCACAAAAGTGGAGAAATAAGATAGAAAATTTTTTTTTATTATCTATGGGTTGTTTAAATGAAATATCTGAAAATATAAGCTTAAATAATTTTTAGGCCCTGTTTTGAGGCTACAAAAACCATCCTTTTGAGCAGAAAAGCCTCAAATTTTTGTAATTTTCCCTGCAAGCTAGCAAAGCTTTTTTTCTTTCCAGCTACTAAAGCTTAATATCCAAATATTGTTTGAGGTTTTCTCTTTAAAATTATGTCAACAATTAGAATCAGACCAAATATCAGTGAGTCAACTTGATTAGGAAGACAAACCAAGGCAGATCTCTGGAACCACTCAAGAATGATTCACGTAACAAAAAGTAGATTAAAAAGCAGGAATCTAAAAAAGGGGTTTTGACCAAATTTAACTTCATCTTTAATTCGATGCGTCACAAATATTCAGACAGTGAGAGACGTTTCCTGGACAGGACCCCACAAACCTTAAAGCTGTACTCGTTGGCCTTCAGAATAGAGTTGACCTGCGGTGGGGTGAGGATGTAGCTGTGGAGCCTTGAGGATGTCTGGTAGCTTCTTCCTGACCTCTGTCTCTGCCTGTCTCGCGTTGGAGTGATGAGACCAAACTGGGAATGGTGGTGTTGACATGGTAACAGACAGGATGCAAAGACCTTGGCACGAGGCAAAGCCCTGAGCAACTGAGATGTAACAGGCATCGCTGACCATGCGCTGAAGGCACACTCAAACACCACACCACCAATGTGCACACACCTGATGAAGAAACACATTTAGACCAATCAGGGAGCAACAACAAGAGGAAGATGCATCCATCCATGTTGAACAAAGTGTTCTCTGTATGACCCATTAAACAAACACTGCAAACAGAGATGATCTGATAGGGTTCTGTTGTTGGAATGAACTAACATTTCCTATGAAACACAGAACAAACAAAAACAGATCCTAGCCAACACAAATACCCAGAACTGATAACATTAAATCATCATTAAAATGTACTGAACAAGTATACTTAGCACAAAAAAAAGTAAGAAAGTAAGTGTTTAGTAGATTATTTCTTTGCTGTAACAATGCTTCTTGGCAATAGTATACATAAATAATAAATATAAATAATAATAAATATATTGTTGGAAAGTTTGCTAATTTCCCTTTTAAATGGTGCCACAATTTGTAAGGAACATGCATTTGTGGGATGAGCAGTAGTAATTTGCCAAATCTTCTCTGGCAATTTATCCTGCTGTTGCTATCGACACTTCAATTTAAATGAAATCTACTAAATAGAAAAAGTTGCTGATTAACTAATTTTCTGTTTCCAGAAATACTGGCAAGCCTTGCTTTTGACTGAACGCATTTCCCTGAAGTGAAATTCAAGTTTCTAGTTTTTACAGGTCATCTCCAGCTCCTTTTTTTCAGACACTCTTTTAGTTTACTCCTCTTTTATTCTCCTTTATTATTCCATCTTATTCTTTTATTTTTATTATTGTTTTATCTTCTTTTATTGTTTGCACTTTGAGATCTGCTTCAGATATAAAGTGTGTTACAAATATAATCTATTATTATTATTATCTCCAAATCTACAAACTGTCCACAATGCAGCAACTTGTCTTCTAACTGGTACAAAGAAGCAACAAATCACAATTTACAACCCCTGTCTTGGTATCTCTTCATTAGCTTCCTGTCTTTTTTCACTTTGATTTGAAATTTTTATTAGTAACTTTTTATATTTTTGTCATGGCTCTTGATTAAAATAAAGTACATGACTTTAATACATCTTATCTAATTTTGCTGCACTTTTATATTTTTTCATTGTCCTTGACCTTGTTTTTATTTGATTTTATTGTATTATTGGATTTGAGTATAAAGCACTTTTGGTCAGTGTCAGTTGTTTTAAAGGTGATTTCTAAATAAAATTGACACAGACAGACAATGGTGCTTCAGAATGCTTCTGGAAATCAAAACACTTTAAATAGAGGTCAGTTTTCAAGTTAATTTTCGGGGTTAGGTTTAGGAAAGGAAGGAGATCAGGGTTGAGCTGTGTATGTATACAAAGGATGTTTCTGGTAAAATTGCACTGATTAATTTGTTTATTTTGTATGAAAATTCCGCTCAAACATCCTGCCCAGTGTGCATTAGATGCAGGAATGTCAACCTTACGAACTGCCTGCAAATGGAATGTGTCATAAACTTCTAGGTATGGGTGCAGAACCTCATGCAGGTGCACAACAATAAAATCTATCTATCTATCTATTATTATTATTAAAAATAACAGTCAAAGATTCAGCAGCTCTGCACTCCTTTTACAACTACCAGTGAGCAGTGTTGCACACAGTGTTAAATATAGCTCAGGTAGTAATTCAGTCCTGACATTTGGGACTCCAGAAATGTTATGACATTGCTCATGGCCAACTGAACTTGAACCTGAACGTGGTCCTTCATAGAATCCGCTCCAATTTCACATTTTAATCTGCACTCTGAAATATCCCATAGCAGCTTCAATGCAAGCGACTGACAGCTTTAAATCCAGGCCAGTTTTATGGCATTTCTGTCCTAAAATCTGAACATAAAAGATTTAGTTAAGAATCCTCTAAAAAAAATCAAGCGGTTATGAATTACACAGAAAACGACAACTCTGAAGCAAAGTTGCTGTTTGTTGACATTTTGTTTAGCTCGTCCGAGCTCATTTGCAGAGCAGATCCACATTCTTGCCAGCTAAATTCAGAGCAATATCAATGCTTTGACACGATCCCGTATAAAGCAAGGAACAACGAGAGGAGCTCTTTAAATTCAAACCGAGGGAGTCATAAAAATAAAAAAAGTCCAAATTAAGCTAACTGTAACTAAGCTAGCTGTGTGCAGGTTACACCCACTAACTACGTTTGAGCTTATAAAACACTTGGACCTGGAGTATTTAATCCTGACAGAAGTAAATGCAAACCTGGGTGCGTCAAAAGCGAGGAAGCAGAGAAAAGTTGAGACTTACCTCAACCTAAGAATGTGAAGAAGTCATTCGAGTTCATGGCATCACTGGCTTGGTGCCGATCATCGCTCCTGCTGTATCCACACACCGAACGCTGATTGGCTGAGCCCTCTGACGTTACATTGGGGTCGCTGCGTACCTGTATGGCAGGTCATTTTAACATAAAATCGAATTCATCTGACCATTGAGGTGTAAACGTTTAGATAAAATAAAGGCCTTTATGATATCTGTGGGTATAAATACGTAATTGCATCTCACATTATAGATCAATATACGTCATTGCGTTACATTGAAACGTTATTTAGAAGAGCTTAAGAGAGGTTTGATTACTTTTGTTCTGTTCTTCATCAACAGTTTGGTGAAAAGTTGTTTTTCAATATAAAAGTGTTTTAAATAGGTTAGTAAATAAAATTCTGAAGTTAAACAAATGTAAGAATGATTGAATAGTGAATAAATGTGAGAAAAAAACTTAAGTTGATGTTTCTTTACATATTTTGTAGGATTGTTTGTGGATTTGCAAAGGGGGTCCCCAAGCTAATGCCGTTTGGGGGCCATGGCATGGAAAAGTTTGGGGAACATTTTAACTATCCTGAATGGTAGCTAATTTAAGATATCTGTATTTACATTCTGACTAGTCAGAAGAACAATGTATCTTAAAAGGAATTTTGACAAGTCAAAATGTAATTCAAGATACCTTAAATTACGTCATATCTCAAACGTAATTATGGCATAAAGAAAACAAAACAAAACAAAAAGTAATTATGGCAGGGGATTTTAACATAAAACCAGTTTTACCACACTTACAAAGACATTAAAAGGAATTTTGACTAATCAAAATACAGTTGTAATATATTTCTAAGTTAGTTTTGCTTAGTCATTATTTGCTTTCAAGATATCTACAATTTAATTTTGACTAATTAAATCTTCTATATCTGAAATAAATTTAAGGTATCTTGAATAATGATGTCATTGAAGATATCTTTAATTGGAATTATGACTAGTCAGAACAAAAAGCGAGCTATTTTAATACATCAAACTATTACATCTTGTGTAAAACTCAGACATTTTATTCAGGTCCTCGAAAAAAACCCATCAAATATTCTGATCCAGAGAAAAATTAGGTGGAATCGCCATTTAAATCAGAAACCAAATTCCGCTTTGGTTCCTCACACTTCTTCTGCTTCCGACATCACAGAAATAAAATAAACTTTAAACATTTCTATGCAAGTTATTTATTAACTCAAAAATGACAAACACATAAAAGGTAAATATTTCTGTGTAAGATGTAAAATGTACTCAGACATAATCACTGTTTTCATCTCACAATGGTAAATTTATTAGAAGTTCATAAAGTTTAATCAGTTCTTTATTTTTCTCTGTTCGGCACCAGTTTTCATTTACGTCCTCATACTGACGTAAATCTGCACACATGAGGTTAGTCAGCGCTGAAAGAAGAATACGACCGTTTACCTCGTGAAACCTCTGGCTCAGAAAACACAGATATTTTAAACACCAGAATTGGGCTGGAGGTGAAACAGCCTCTTTATAACAAGACTTCCTACAAATATTTACTGTATCAGACAGATTAGAGATTGGAGGAGTCAAGGTGAGGCACAGTGGTGGTAGTATCATGCTGTGGTACTGATGTTTCACTCAAACAGGACGGATCAATGAAGAAGCAGAACCTTCAAATTTTAAAACTTCACATCAAAACAACTAGGTGATGTTTTAAATAAACTAATTTAGTTTATTTAAATATTGTAATGACATGGTACTATTTTTTATTTTAACCTGAGAGTACAGAGTATCTATCTAGTAAAACTTTGATAAATAGTAAATTCATAAATTAAAAACAATATAAAAGCACTTATTTTAACCTTTAATTTAGCTTTGAATGATTTGCTTCTAGTTAAAAAAAAGATGTTAACATTGTAAAATAGTTTAGAACTGAATGATTTCCTCTGAAACACTTCAGAATGAACTCACAGCTGTGCAGGAACAGAACGACAGTTACGACCCAGGTTAACAAAGTGTGAGCGGCCCGGACCAGAAAACCCGTCCGGAACACGTTCTGCACCATCTTATTGACAGGACCAGGTCACGTAAATAAAACTAATTCACACATAGGGATTAACAGTTAGAACACCGATGTAGAAGTCCCTTTTTACAGCTAATTTTATGAGCTACATGTTAGCGAAAAACGTGGTCAGTACTTCCGTGTTTTGGTACAGTGGCCTCTGTAGGACAAACAACGACCTGAAATAAAGTCAGAATTTGGTTAAACAAAAATTCTACTTTTATGTTTGTGTTTAATAAATTATACTCCTCTTCATCACAGAATGGCTGCATGGCCTGGGCCGGCCTGGCTATAAACCCGGGTTCAGCGTGTTTGCATTAGCTCTTGAGGAGCAGCAGGATCCTACAGATCATCTTGACTCTGCTCTGTCTGCTTCCACAACCTGGCAGCTGCAGCCAGTGAAAACTGTCAGAGACAAACAAACAGCGCCATCTTCTGGACAACAACAAATGCATTTTTGATAAACCTTATTCTCCTGCGGGTGTAAAGTGTCAGATTGTTAATGAAATTTTCCAGCAGGGTAGACAGACTCCACTTTAGTGACAAGGTGAGAAGTTTAGTTAAACCAGGAAAGACTCAGAGTAGAGCCACTGCTCCTCTACATCCAGAGGAGTCAAGAGGTGCTCAGACATATGTCTCCTGGACACATCCTTATAGGAAGGTGATCCGGGAGGAGACCCTATAGACCCAGGACATGCTGGAGAGACTATTAGCTGGCCTGGAAACTCCTTGGAAATAGATCCTCTTGCTTGAGCTGCTGCCCCGTGACCTGACTCTGGAACAAGTGGCAGATAATGGATGGATGGATGGATGGATGGATGGATGGATGGATGGATGGATGGATGGATGGATGGATGGATGGATGGATGGATGGATGGGCAGATTGAACTTTTACTCTGATTTAATGGAAACTAAATAATAGATAAACAAAAATCACTACATTTTATTTTCACCAGCTTCAAATTTTTTCACACATTTTAGATTCTGTCTTCAGACATGATGATATTTTTAGTTTAGCTTCAACTTGTTTATCGATTAATATTATTTGTTTATTCTAATCTATAAGCAGCAGCACAGAGTGGCATAAAAATAACTATCTGAATTCACAACCTTTAGTTTTTCTCTAAAGAACTTGATTATTTTTGTAAAACTTCATCCTGGGTCCAGGGCGATGAGGGCAACAACTCAGTCAGATTGTTCTACACAAATCTCTACTTATCACTCAAAAAAAAGAAAAAAAAGATTTGTTGAATTTACTTAACGAAGTTATGTCAAGTGGTTCCAGTCAACTGAGTTGAGTAAATGTGACAAGATTTATACAAGTAATACATACATTTATTTAACTTGACTGAGTGGAACCATTTGACATAAATTCAACACATTTTTTTATTATAAATTTGAATTACTAATTATTAATTATT